CTACTACTACTCCACCACCACCACCACTACTACTACTACTACCACCACTACTACTCCACCACCACCACTACTACTACTACTCCACCACCACCACTACTACTACTACTACTACTACACCACCACCACTACCCCACTACTACTACTACTCCCCCCCCCCCCACACTACTCCTACTACTACTACTACTACTACACCACCACCACCACCACCACTACTACTACTACNATTTGAACGCATCCCTGTGACCAGCTCTCATAGTATGCCTCTCGCCCAATGAAATGACTTGGTCGCTCTATGACGCGTTGAACCCAATGTGAGCAAATTACTCTGAATGCTGCGACGCAGCACCTGAGATTACTCCCAAAAGGTTGTTCACGTTCTCAATTTTTTACGTTTAACGTTATATACACGTGTACCGAACCGAAGGGCGTCTTCGGTACGGGTACGTGTACCGTTACACCCCTAGTGTCTGCATATAATGTTCATATTTAGTCTCCTGATTTTAAATGGGAATTAAATCATTTGAGTGTTCCCAAAGAACCGGTGTTCTGCAGTTTGTGTGGGCCTACTGTACTGTTGCAGTTCACTGTAGAAACTATGTCCAGGACAAGGTATTTGGAAGTCTCATAGCTAACCACACTGAAGATTATGGAGGTATTGATCAGTCTTCTCATATCTCTAACATCACCAGAAGTCATAATTTAAGGGGTCATTTCTCAAAATGTTCCCCGTGTGGTTTATTCACCATTACAATAGCCCCACCTAAAAGTATTTCCACCAGCCGCCACTGCCAACAACATTTCCTGAACAGTGAATTTGAATTGTTACCATCAAAGATACAGGGTTCAACGATTAAATACAGTTAGACTAAAGAACTCCTTTGAGCACAACACAATCTTGAAATCAAATCCCAGGTCAGATGTACGTTAAAGGGTTTTGAACATGTTGTCTTCAGTTTATGTTAATGTCTGTTTCGTGTCTTAATATCTGTATGATGTTGCAAAGGAAGCTGCTGTGATGCAAGAAAACATTAAGACTTTATCTGACAATAAAGTAGTACTATCGTATTATGTCCTCTTTTACCCACGGGTCATTGGAAGTGAATTCTCCCGCTGGACGTGGCACGGCGGAAGCATTAGCGGGGCCTAACCGAAAAAATTCTTACCAACATTAGCAAAACCAACCGGAGCTTCTTATATTGAGGTCAAAATTAACCCAAACTCGAGCAAGGCAAAGTATCAAGGGAAAGCCGGGGTTATGGCTGAAATGCGTTTTAACCGGTGCTTTAACGCCTCACAGCGGAGGACAACATTACAGTAAAGTTGGGCTAACTACCTCAACTGTTGATGCTAAAACTGCTTATTTATCACACTTAATTAAAGTAAATATAGCCTATACACAAACTCTCTAATGACGGTCTAACAGCTAACGTGGGGGCTCCTTGCAGCTAACGCAGTCTGAAGGAGCCCTAAGACGTTTATGTAAGGTGTAAATTAGTTATAAGCAATTCATTTATCGCAGCATTTTCAAATCACCCAGCCGAACTCAGCGCTCGCCCCCCGGGGAAAAGTTGTTTAAGGCAGCGGTAAATGTCACAGTCAGCTTGGGAAGCTAACGCGGGTTAGCTACTCACACACTCCGACTCCACTACGGGTTTCGGCTCTGGTCGGGTTGCTGTCACCTCCGGCGGTTCGGGTTCTCTCACACGGCTCTTGGTGGTCGAGGAGCCGGACTTCCCGCTGTCCGAACCCGAACCGGACTCGTCGTCGTCCTCGCTGTCCTGGGACGCGCGCCTCCTCCTTCGCCGACGGTCCGCCATCTTAGATCTCGAATGGTTGGAACCGGAACAAGACTGTGGCTAGGCTAGTTCTTCTTCTCTGAGGTTTTAAATAAAAGGTCATGAGCGTGTTTTTTTGTACTGCCATCTTCTGGAAGTCGGAACGTCAAATAATACCTAATCATTTCACAGTAGAACAATATAACATTTTAAATGAAAGAGCTTAAGCACTTATTTGTTTAAAATATATCTATTCAGTCTTTTTTCCTAGTAGCAAGGCACCGAACCCCCAACTGCTCCTGGCTCCGGCTTGACCGGCTGTCTCTCCGCTCTGGATCCTCTCGTGTGAATATATCACTGTGTGTATTTGTATCTATGTGCATGTGTGCACACAACACATTACTGTGTGTATTTGTATACCTATAAGAAGCATGTGCATGTATAAAAAAAAACTGGAAAACTGAATTTCACTTCAATAAAGGTCCATCTTCTTCTTCTTAATAATAATAAAACAATTTTGGCTAGTTTAGAAAAGTAAAAAAACATTGGGGTTATCACCAGTGTTGGGGGTAGTAAGGCGCTACACTGGTGAGGAGATAGTATTTGCATTTGGTTTATGGTGCGTCTCAGGTGATATTACAGAGTAATACAAAAGTAATGTAACAAGTAGTGTAACTCATATATTTCAGCAGTGAGTAATTGAGTGAAGTAAAAAAAAAAAAAAGTAACTAGTAATGGGTAATGCATTGCCTTTTTTTTTAGAGTAACTACCCCAACACTGATTATCACTGACATGAGTGCCAACAGTTATGTCACTCACACGGGGCACCAAACACTGCTGTAATTTGATCATCTTAAAGGGCGGGTGCCACCTTGTTACAAGGGTAATCGCCAAATAAGTGTCAAATAATGACACTATAACTGATCAAATGTTATACCTCAAGCTAGAAATAACAATTTATTCCAAGCAGATAGACAATGAGGAACCAAGACACCAGACAGCAAACCGAGGATAAAGAGGTTCAGTGAATGTGGTGCTGAAGGTGTGGAGGTGGACCAGTGTGTCAGAAGAGACTCTGTAGAACGACAGAGTGCCAGCAGGATAATCCACATACACTGCTACTCTACCAGAGACAGAGGAGCAGCCGGAGGGGGAGAAAGAAATTATTTCTTTGGTTATTGTGCCAGACACAGTAACCATCATCATCAGAGCACTCCAAACTCCAGGACTTATCATTATCCAAACACAGTCATCTCTTTTTCTTTTGCTGCTGATTCCTTTGTAGGTCACTGATATATAAACCTCTCCACTCCACCTCCCAGTAACAGTGATCAGTCAGAGCATTTCCACATATCAGCTGGGGAAAGTTGTCAAATCTGTCTGGGTGATCAGGATAGCTCTGCTCCTGTAAAATCACAGTACTGCTGTCAGACAGTGTGAGTTTTCTGTTTACTGTGTTCTGGTCCAGTTCCAGATTAACAGCATCTTAAGAAGAGAACATGCAACACAATACAGCAACAGGTTATTATCTGATCATCTCATTCATTAACACATTCAAATTTACATTTAATATTCACCTGTGAACTTTAACCTAAGCAAGGGATAATGTGAAATGTCTTGTGCGTTGGAACGTTTTTGATTTATGACCTCCTAGCTGCATACTTTCCTGCTTTTTACATGGCTAACTAAAGAAAAAACAATGATCTGATTCACAATATTGATTTAAAAAATATTTTATTGGTTAAAAATGATTGTATTACTTCTGCTAAGAAAAAAATAGTGGGTTCGAGAGCATGGTAACTTAAAATGAAGGCAGAACTGATCAAGGTTTACTGTAACCGTCCAAGTATGTTCACAGTTTCTCTCACACTGCCAGAGCCCATACCGTGTTCCTGTTTGTGTCAGGGTTCGGGAATATTAGGTTTCAAATGCAGTTTAAAAAGGGAAGCGGGTTTCAAAACAAAAGCCAGCTTTATTCAAACAAAGCTGCTGAAATAAAAAAACAATGAATCATAAACAGGTAGCACGAGGTAAGTGACAAACATGGAGGGTGAGAAAAGACAACGAACCGACATGGAGCACAGGGGAAGACACGACTAAATACCCAGAAGATTAATCACAGTACAAGACAAAGCTGGGCAGGGGAGGCAGAAAGACAAGGGCAACAGGTGAACACAATCAGACAATCATACACAGGGCAAACACAGGAACGAAGACAAGACACAGGGAGAACAGAATTTCAAAATAAAATAGATAAAAACTCAAATCGTGACATAACCCCGCCCCTTCAAGGGACAGATTCAAGACGTCCCTAAACAAAGTCCAACATTTCCAAAAGGGTGGGTGGAGGGGGTCCGGAGGACGGTTTTGGGCTTACAGCCCGGGGGCACGGCAGAGGACCAGGAAAGGTTCTCGGGCGGACGACGCGGGGGAAAGGCAGACGAGGCGGACCTAGTCAGGGAGCCGGGCACAAGGACGGACCAGGTTCGTGGCCGACTGGATCACCGGCTGAATAGGAACTGGTGTAGGCGGGATACCCGGCAGGACAGAGTTCGTAGCCGGCGGAACAGGAGCAGGAGTTGGCAGGACCCCCAACGGAACCGGACATGGAGTCATACTTGCCAACCCTCCCGATTTTCGCGGGAGACTCCCGATTTCATAGCCCTCTCCCGGTTTCCTCCCGGGGTCATATTTCTCCCGATTTCTGACAAAATCAGATTTACACACGACTGTTTACACTCAGACTTTATTACAGCTACACCATTGTTTGGTTTCCATGGTAGCGCGTCTCTTTAGTAACAAGTGATGGATTTACACGACCTATTCACTGGTAGTGATAGACACGTTTTCCTTAATACAATATATCCGGTTAGGGTATACCGTGATAATTTCGGGTATCAGTCCGAGTTTCATTGTATAAGGAAAACCAATGTAGGGTTGAGGGACAGGACAAGCTAACTTCCCAGGAAGGTGAGGTACAGGGACGGGCCCAAAAGACCGGTTGAGGTACGTCTGAACGGTTGGACTCTGGAGGTCTTATAGCACCTACGTAAATCAATCACCTAGCACGGCTCGACAACCATAATTTGTAATTGTAACGAATACAATAAGACTCACCGTTACGCCAATACTTTTACCGAGATGTATTTAAGTTCAATAATAAAAATTACGGAACGCCAGGGACATCGATGAGGTAGAGAACTGCTCGTATACACCAACCCGACCTGGTCCTTTCCTTCACTGTCATCTCCAAGCTCAAACAGCTCAAAAGAACCAGATAAAAAGACACTAATGATC